CTGTCAGCATCTTAGTTTGTTAGTTTTAGTTTGTTAACTGTCAGCCACGGTGCAAAGCAACCTAATAAACTCCAGCACCTTTGAGAAACATCTGCGGAGTAGCTGTCTGCTGTCTACTTTCCACCAGAATCCTCTGCTCCTGGGGCATTGCAATGCTGGCATGAACAGGGCAGCCAGGACCAGCGGGCACATAAACATCCCATGTCTTCTTCACACATACCAGTGATCTTGTTCTGATAGATGTCACTGACAAATCACAAATCTAAAAGGAAGAATTATGAAGAATTTGGAGAGAGTGGTAGCAAAGCATGCAACCCAGCCCAGGGCCCTCAGAGCATAAGGTCCTGTACAAGTATGAAAACCACACACCTGGGAATCCAACCTTGAATAGAAGTGTGGTTTTGTATGTGACCCCACAGACTGAGTGCCCCTGTGAATGCTGTTCTTCGGAGGTGTTGAGGGCTGCGTGTCCAGAGGGGGCCACTCATGGGGATTAGGATATGGAGTCCCCTACTTGAAACCACCTCCCCAGTCTCTCTCTGCCACATGGAAGCAGGTAACCTTCCATTCTGAGTCTCCATTCACCTGTACATAAAACAGGCACTCTAGAACCTATCTTCTCAGGGTTTTGGGAGGGCCAGGTAAGGGAGAAGATGCAGAGTACTTGGTGCCTGGCATGCAGCTGGCACATGGTTGGTGTTGGCAGCCCCAGGAGGACTTGGGTGAGGGCTTCCCATGGTGAAGCTGCTGCCGTGAGCCTTGCCCACATCTGATGAGCACGAAAGTCAGGTTTCTGACAACGAGTGACCTTGTCTCGCTGGGGGCTCATTTTGTTTCCCAGTGACCACTTTTCATGTTAAAAGCCCTGCTCTTAATTAAAAGAGTCAAACATTTATTATGATTACATAGACAGGAAAAAAAAAAAAACAAAAAACATGAAACATGATTTCTATTTTCACAGAGAGAGTTATCAGTATTGATTTAACTAAATCAAATGCTAGTGGAGGGAGAGTTATTCCATCAGGACCCTCTACTGGCCTGGATGTTGTCACTGTTTCACAGAGATAAGTGGCCTCGCTGTGCCTGCTGGCGTCCAGGCACAGGAAGCCATGGTGCGCTCTGTGCTCAGCTCCCCAGGCATTAAGCTGCACTAATTGCTTTGGAAGCAAGGCCTTTTCCTGGGCAGCAGCATATGCTGTATGAGTGCTTGAAGCAAAGATAAAAAGCCACCTTCCTCCTCCTTTATTGAAGCTTAATAATAAAATGAAACTGTCACCATTTCCAATAAATTGTTTATTTTAATTTAGAAAAATAATGGAAGCTGGCCACCTTCTGGCACACAGCTGTTGAGGAGTGTCTTCCTGACTTGGGCAGTCTTGAACCTCTGCTCTCTGGAGCTTGTGCTGGAACATGCTCAGGTCTTGGTGTCAGTAAAATCAACCATGTGTCTCTCTACACTTAATAAAAGCTAGCCCTTGAAGGGTGAACTAAGTCATTTCAAGGTGTATTTGATTGTAAAGTTACAAGCCAGGAAGTCAGCACAGGGGGTATTGTGGTATAAATTTTTGTAAGATTTTTTCAAAGTACTTTTTAGTGAATACAAAATTAAAACAATCTGACAGTTTTCTGTCATCCTTTCAGAGGACTTATTTTTTTCCTATAATATCAAGGGAAGTCTGCCCAATATCCTTTGCATTGAGGGAAACAAAGGCACAGATGAGAGAAGCGTATGAGCCTACCTCAGAGAGCGGGTAAGTGGCAGAGGGGAACTGGAATTTCAGAGCCCCAGCTCCTGACTGTGTGTAGCATAAAGGTTCTCCCTCCTCCATCTGCTCTACATTTCACAGGGGTCAAAGTTGATGCCTGACAGCCAGAGCTAATTGCCTCAGAGACTCATATCTGGTAAATGGCTTAACCAGGACTGGAACCCAGTCTCCCAAATCCAAATCCTGGTTCAGTGTTTTGCTTTTTTTCTCTAGAGTCCATGAGGTCTACTACATACCATTGCTTACATACAATGATTATAATGTGATTTTAGATTTTCCAGCAGATGCAACTGGAAGTAGAAAGGAGAAGTCTACAGTGATGAGGTAGATACAAGAGAGTCAGCCAGGTCCCTCCCAGCATATGGCTAGGATTCATCTTCAGCAAATCACAAATTTCTCCATGCCAGGGGAAGTCAAAGCAATGGGTATTACGTTCAGGACTGTCTTGCTCTCTGGAACAGGCACTGGAACTATGTGTGAAAGCCACATAATATAGTGGTGGTGATTAAGAAAGGACAGAGGGGGCATCCATGAGATGAGAAAGAACACTGTAAAGCAGGGGGAGCTTCAGTGGGGACAGTAATGTCGCAGCAGCCCGAGTCATTGTGAAGGTCTTGATCAACAAGGTCTTTTCAGTAAAGTAGCCCAAATCCAGCTTACGTGGGACTAGCAAAGAAACAGAATGATTGGTTCACTTACCTACAAAGCCAGCATCTTTACCTGCAAACCTGCGTCTAGTGGCTCATGCTCTGCTGATTTTGTCTTGCCCCCTCCATGTGGACTCTGTTCTGCTAGACTGTTACCTTTATTCAAGTAAGCTCTTCTTTTGCAGTGGCTAGTTGCTGAGGCCGAGGTTTCCTCCCTGTAATCGCAGTGAAGAGAGGCAGTCTTCTTCCTCACATTTCAGTTGAAGCCCAGGGATTGGATTGAGTGGCCATGCCTGGCTGTGGTTGATGGAGATGGAATTCATGGATAGTACTGCATGATAAGTGGTTCTACTCTTTGATCTAGGAGGGAGGAAGATAGATACTAGTCTCACCCAAATCATATGATGTATAGGATGTTGAGGGAGAAAGAAAATCAGAAAAGAAATGCATGTTAGACAGGCAGAAACTCATGCATAACCACTGGGTGAAGGCCTAAGGTTTCCTCTGCTCCCCACTGGTGAGGAGGGAGGACTGGGGCAGCCCTGTGTCTCCAGTCAGCCCCGTCCAACAGGAATTTCTGCAGTGATGAGGGTGTTCTTTCATCTTCCTTGTCTGAAGCAGTAGCCACTAGGCAACGTAAGGCTATTGAACACTTGGAACATGGCTGGTGTGATGAGGGCCTGACCTTTTAATTTAGGGTGATGATAGTTCAATTCAATGTAAATAATTGCATGTAGCTCATGACTTTCACAGTAGACAGACCAGGGCTTAGGGGAAGCCACATTACCAGAGGTGGTGGTGTGGAAAGCAAGAACCAGGAGGAGAATTAGGTTGCCAGTTAAAAAGGAGTGTGGGGCCCTTCCTGGTGGCACAACAGGTAAGGAGGACAGAGCACTGCGAACTAGCCACAGCCCATTCAGTGCAAGTTCAATCCCTGGCCCCGTAGGTGACCCACATGGCACAGCAGACCTCTCCTGACCCATCCGCTGCTCCCCTCAGCATTGTACTTTGTTGATCTGCCTTTCTGCTCCCCACTCTGGTAAATCCTCTCACTGCCCCTGCACCCTCTGGCCTGTACCCCAGTTATTGTGTGCATAAATAAATCTTTAAAAAGTACAATCTGGAAGACTAAGATGATGAAAATGATTTGGTTCAGGTTATGAGTAGGAAAAAAGGGAGGTAGGTAAGAGGGAGAAAAGAAAGAGCAGGACCTGAAGAGAGAGGCCTTCGTGTACAATATCGTTTGGAAATCCTTAACCTGAGGAAATATTTTTTCCAGCTAATATGTGGACCAGATTTATACAAGGGAGAAACAAAAACACAACTGACCTTGTTATAAAAGTGAATTGAAGAGAATTCTATGACATGTTGTTACATTTTACTCTAAGTGTCTAACAATAAAAGCAACTGTTGCCTGAAGCGTCTTTCTACACATGGATTAAAAGAAAATTAAATGGGGTTGCTTTGTTATTAAAAAAAAAAAAAAAGCACTGTGTAAACTTGTGTGACCGAGCTCAATTGAATACAGTTGACAGAAATGACATCAGAAGAATAGAACGAACTTGTCGAGGCAGGTCTGGCTACAGCCTCTGGAACCTGGGACCAGTTAAAGCCCAGGCTCTGTGCACAATGCAGAGACCATGGCATCATTTTCCCTCTATGGGATGCGTGGGGGTCCCCATAAGGTGATATTTGCTGAGCCCAAGTCAGTGGTCTCCACTCACTCTCAGGTTAGGTTCCCAAGGGTGAGGGTTCTTGGTAAATGAGGATTGACCAGCTCTGATTCCCTCCTGACTGCGGAATCAGGGGTGTCTCTTCCTTAGATGCATGTAGCATGTAACTCCTGGATCTGTTGACAAGTGCTCAATGGAGGACTTGCCATAGCTCTTCATCCTGCTGGGCCTTGGACAGTTGGCAGGAAGAAAGGAGAAACACAGTTTTTCCTTGCTGGGTGGTTTGACGGGCTCTCCAGCAAGTCTCGCTCTGCAGACAGCTACAGAGCACCTTCTGTGTGATATGTGGTAGCTGTGGGGAGAGTTGGCAGCCAGATGCCCTGTCTTAGGAATGTCAGTCTTGAGTGGGGACAGATTTTAATCAGGCACCAGGAGTGCTAGAACAAGGTGGATCTGAGCTGGAGTGACAGTGTGGGGCCAATCTCAGAGGCAGGTGGTATGAAGGTTTTCTGGGTAAGAAGGGGGTGATATCTAAACAGGGTCTAAAGTAGGATGGAGAACACAAGCAGAGAAACCAAGGGAGGGGGAGTGGGTCCAGGGGAGGGGAGCATGCAGAGTCCTGAAAGGGGGGTACCGGGGGTGGGCAAGGGAGAATTACAGAACATGAAATGGGAAAGTAGAGCAGGAATTTTAGCTTAATTAAGTACTTTTCACCCCAGTTTCAGAGCTTTTTTCTTCCCTACAATGTAATCAAAGCCTGGAAAAGCATATAGAAAGTTTTTACATTGAATAAGTTCTTGTTTCGAATTGGGAAGGAGAATCACTGGCCTCGCCTTACTTATGCTTGTTCACTCAAGGCTGGCATTTCACATAACAGGATGGACACTAATGGATTTTCTGCTTTGTTGTTTCAGCACTTCAGGGAGCATCTGGACAAACTTTTTGCCAAAGGAATTGGAATGCTGGATATTGCTCTTAATGAGGCCTTCAACATTCTCAGCGATGTAAGCTTCCCTTTGATTTGCCTTTCTGTCTTCGGCAGAGTAGATGGGGTTGTTGTTTTTAGTTGTGGACCGTCGTCCTTGCTCACTTGCTGGACTTACATGCAGGCGAGAGGAGGTGAACCTGGCCCCGCCAGTCCACTGGGGAGCCAGACCCATCCTGGCCAGCAAGGTCAGACAGGTCGGATTGATGCACAGTCTGCCAGACGGCCACCAAGGTCTCTTAAGTCAGGTTCTTTCTACCCTGTGAGGCTTTCTGTTTCCCCTCAGAGTAGTCTCATTCCCATTGTGAGCCTCACAGACTCTGCCTGGGCAGAAGTCCAGTTGAAAGGGCTTTTCTGTGAGCATGCTCAGTTAGTGCTGTCCTCATGCTCCCACTTTATCCAGTCTGTGCAGCATGTTTGAGGCCACAATAAACGCTGTAGGAAGCAACCCTGGCTGGTATGACTCATACTTTTTTAAGATTTTAATTTTTATGAAGGAAGTACCATTGTTTTTCATCTTTGTTAACACTTTGACAATGTAGGATTTCTCCCCTTAGGTGTGGTCATTGCAGCTCTCCCACCAGCAAAGCACCATAATCCTTCACCTGAATCTACTATGTTCTTTTCTCTCTCTTCCTCTTTGGTGCCTTAGATCTGTGGTCAGTTTTCAAGGATTGGTTTTTATAGTTTGTATTTGTATGACCTTTTGTCTGGTTTCTCTATGTTATACATACAAATGATACCATCCTATATTTATCTTTCTCCTTTTGGCTTAATCCCTTCAAACTATGTCAGCGTTGCCACGAATGACATGAGTTTATCTTTTTGATCACTGAGTAGTATTGCATTGTGTATATATGCCGCATCTTCTTGGTCCAGACATCTATTTTTGGACATTTGGGTTGCTTGTGTACCTTGGCTGTTGTAAATAGTGCTGTAATAAACAAAGTTGTGCAATACCTTGGGAAATCCTGGGCATGCAGCTGGTCCTTGTGTCCAGTTTTGCCCAGCTAGAATAACATCCAGGTGGTCCCTATGCATTCTCCTTAATCTGGGTGAGTGGGGGAGGTGTAGGAAAAATAATGGCTATCTTTCTTAAATCAGGTTCTGTATCATTCATTTAGCTGCTTTTTAATATAAGTCACTGAAAATACAACAGTGAGCTTCAAAGACAGAATGTCTGCCTCCTTGGACCTTATGTTATAGTACAGAGATCATCAAACCACGGGGATGAGCCAGAGTCAGCCTCCCAGTTTTGTAAGTGTGCCATCAGAATGCAGTCATGCCCACCTTGATTGCATTTTGTCTGTGGTTGCTTTTGCACTAAAATGTCAAAGTTGATGATTTGTATTAGAGATCATATGGCCTGTGAGGAAGGAGGATTGCTGGAAGGAGGAAGGCTTTCTGCAGAGTGGTCAGGGAAAACAGCTCTAATGAGGTGATGTTGGAGTAGAGACCTGAAGGAAGAGAGGGAACAGCCACATGGATGTCTTCAGGAAGGAGCTTCCAGCAAGAGAACAGCATGCACAGAAGCCCCTGGGCAGGGATGTTTAGCCTATATAGCCAGAAGGCCACGTGACAAGGCCAAGTCCAGAGAAGTCAGATTACTTGCACCTGTCCAGATTCAGTGAGGCTTTGGGCTTCACTTTGTGTTGGAGCAAAAGCCACTGAAGTGTCTCAGTAGAGAATGTCATGACTCCACTTGAGTTTGGTCAGCGGTTTGTGAACTACTGTGTTAGAGGCAACTGCTGAATCACCGGGACAATAGCAGGGAGGCCATTAAATTATTTGGTGGTGGGGAGAGAAGGTGGAGATAATGATGACTTGGACCAGGGAAGTAGCAGTTAACATGTTAAGAAGCAGAAAAATAGAAACCACTCTAGGCATTTTACACAGCAGGAGTTTAATTAGTTGCAAGGGGATAGAGGAGCTGACACACCAAACAGGGAATGAACAGTCGACAGACTGCTATTTGCACCAGGGGATGTAGCTCCTCTCTAGGGCAGGAGTCTTGACAAGAGGAAGAGAGGCCTATCGGGCCTCCTCCCAGTGGCCACCAGAGGGAATAGAATGGTGGAGCGGGCTGCCCCACAAGAGCTGGAACCATGGACGCTAACGCTATGGCAGAGGCACAGCCTTTGCCTATGAAATGGCCCCTGCATGGGGAGAGAGGGAGAAATAGCTGCAAGTACCTTGACTTCTCCCTTTTATCTTTTTTCTCCCTTGAGTAGACTGTGACAAAGCTGTTGGGGAGTCCATGGACTATGGTTTGTAGGAGAGGCTTCGAATGGAACTGGGGCACCAGCTAGAGGCTCTGAGGGCCTCACTTCACTGAGTCTTCAGCCGTTGTGAGTTTGCAGTGAGCAGGAGGGCTTAGAGGGTGAGCATTCACCCTGCTTCATTCCAGGCTTATGTGGTGCTCACACCTGATTCAGACTTGCGCCTTTCTGCTCAGACACACTGGCCTCCCAAGCTCAGGCAGACTCTCAGTGCACAGAAGGTCCTTTAGGTTTCAGACTTTGCCTGAGTGGTGACTATGTTGTGACTGCAAAGGAGAGAAGAGTAACGGGAAAGGTGGCATAAGCCCGAGGCCATTTCCTCTCCCAGGTGATCTGTTACATCATTCACATTCATGTCAGACTCATTTCATGCTAACAACTTACTAATACTTTAGAAATTATTTTATTTGACCTTCTCAGGCAAAGGGCTAAACTACCTCTTGGAATTCTCGTGGGGACCCCAAGAGGTACCTTCTCAGGAGGAGGTGCTGAACTCTGTCTCTCAGCGTGTTCTTTCTAGGTGGTGATCTTAAGAGAAGTCCTCACAACATGAACATTTGCTCACTTTTATTTCAAAAACCTAGTGGTTGGAGGCTACTGCATGAACTTTTGTTCCCTGTCTGGCTAAGGTGGTGAAGGCAAGAGAATGAGGAGGTGCTCACTGTATGGTTATACTGGTGGCTTCACAGTCAGGGAGGCTGGGCTGAGACAGGAATAGACTCAGCACTGGCCACATAATCTGCAAGGCTCACAGCAAAACGAAAATGCATGCCCCTGTCTAGAGTTGTTAAGTTTAAAAGCAATAGCGGAGCTTTAGGCTTCTTAGGGGGTCATGGGAGGCTGCACGTCATACTTCCTGGTGGAGTGACAGCTCAGCATGACAAAGCAGCTAGGCAGGAGGTGCCCCTCCAGACCAGGAGACCTTGGGCAGCCTCGTCTTGCCGGGCCACCTTGGAATCTAGAAGTGGCTCCCACTATTGATGTTTTAGTGAGACTCCCTGCCCAAGTCCTCAGGAATGTTTCTCTTCACCCTCTGCTCCCTTTGCTCTATCCTGCTACCTTCTCTGCCCTCCCTTCCAACTTCTCAGTGTGTTCTCGGAATGGCTGTGTTTTCCACCACACTCCAGTTGGTGCTGGTCACCCAAGATGCTCCAGCATGGGTGATGTGTCAGGCTGAGGAGATACTGACCTCCTTTGGGAGCCTCACAACCTCTGTCCTGTACGAGCCCTCGACAAGCAGTGCCGTGAACAGGCTCTTCAGAATGTGCTCCCGCCACTACTCATGCTAATGGATCCTGAGGCCCATGTCATGTCAACTCAGCATTGGGGTCTTAGAGATGTGGAGTTCGCTGAGCACACCTTCAGACATGTGATCTTTGAACACTCTAAGATCATACATTTATATCCATGAAACCTCAAAGGTCCAGCAAAACCACTGACAAATGGGTGATGCTTTTTTCCCTTGAGTCCTGGTGAGAGGTGTCTCTGAACCATAGAAACTTCCCACACAACTCCCTGCTTTGCCTTCATGGTAAAAACCTTCTGGGGCTCAGCCAATCAGCAAATCTGATGGCCAGCCTTCCCTGGTGGTGCAGCTGGTTGGAGAGCTGTACTGTGAAGCTAAGTCACTTCAGTGTGAGTTCATTCCCCGCCCCAGAGGTGATCCACATGGCATGGCAGACCTCTCCTATCTCACCCACTGCTCCTCTCAGCTGTACACTTGGTCATTCTGCCTGTTCTGCTCCCCACTCTGTTTCTGGTGAATCCTCTTACCTCCCCTGCACCTCTGGCCTGTACCCTAATTCTGTATGCATAACTAAATGAAATCTTAAAAAAAAATCTGATGGCTATAATATAAATCTGGAAAGCATAAAAGGGAAGGGACAATAAATGTTACAAATGTCCCTGCTTGAGATTGATTGACAGTTGGCGCCATATTCTTTTGAGTGCACATTTATCCCATAGAGAGAAACATTTCCAGCCCATCTCTTACCATTGGGCTTTTACATAGTCAAGTACTTTGAAAAACACAGAGATGGTTAATCTCCCATGAAAATGAGGTTCTAGCTATTTTCCACTTCATCAGTATGACCTTTAAGTGATATAATTCTCTTCCTGTGTATTATGCCTGCCTTTGCAAGGCAATATGAAATAAAAAGCCACTTCTGTAGCATAAAACATTCTCTCTCTCTCTGTCTCTCTTTCTCACACACACAATTGAAATTGTGATGTGGCTGGAACAGAGACTGGTTCAGAGGTTACTATAACTAAATGGAGTTAATTCTGTTTTGCAATTACCTGAATTTCAGTTTCAGCATTTGCTCAGATGACTTAAAGCCTTGCAGTTGTTGTAAGAACGACTTTGAAAGGAACATTCAAATAAACTTCCAAGACCCTTCCAGCTATTGATCTCTGCTGTATTCATTAGGTTTCCTAAGAACACAGAGCCAGTTTGCTACAGTAGTTAACATCTACCTTGTCATGTGACAACTGCAATTATCTTTTTTGGCGATGAATGTGATCTTTGCAGTGATTACCTTTTAAAAATTTTTCTCAGCCAATTAAATAAAATTCGGTGACATTTCAAAGACTGTTAATCACAACCAAATGCTCTAAATGTCAGGATGCATTGAAATTTTCACTGCTAACTGATGAATCACTGAGCTAATTGTAGTTCATCATCAGGCTCTTGTCATTGTTATTATTATGGAAAACACTTTCATCACTGTCGCTATTCAATAAAAAAAGTTCTAGACAAATATGAAGAGAAGCGATATTACTCATCAAAGCATTTGAATTTAATTGCATTCTCCAAAATTCTCCAACTGCAGACTGCTGTAGAGAATACTGTGACACAGGCAGAGAGGAAAATGATGTTTTCCAATAAGCAGCTCCAGTAGCCCCCTTTTCCAACCTACGGCATTCGGATATTTTCATTTCCCGCTTCTCTGCCTCTTGCTTAGAGAGTTTTCCAGGATATTTTCAAGTGGATACACGAACAAGCACCCGATGGTGTCCTAGTTTGCTGCTCTCCTGCAGTCTCTGTGACCTGAAACCCAACTCTCCTTTATTCATAGCCTGCTGCTGCATTTAGTCAGTGATGTGAAGACTGTGTTGGATACAGCCTCCCCAAATATCTCCAGAACAGCCTGTTGCTAAGACAAGGCTACAAGTCTGTTTTATCTTACTGCAGTAAGGAAGGAAATACACTATGATCATGGGATTTTGTGTGTGTGTGTTGTGTGTGTGTGCATACAGAACTGGGGGACAGGCCAGAGATGCAAGGGCAGTGAAAGGCTTCACCAGAGACAGAGCAGGGAGCAGAACAGGCAGATTGACGAAGTACACTGCTGAGGGGAGCAGCGGGCGGGTCAGGAGAGGGCTGCCACGCCATGTGGATCACCTCCAGGGTGGGCAGGGATCGAACTCATGCTCAGGTAGCTTTAGCTTTTTAATGCTGTGCTTTAACCCACTGCGCCATGAGGGAGGGCCCCGATCACGGAATCTTACTAGTGTCTCAGAGCAGAAAGGTCGAAGTAAAGATATTAATTGAGGTTATGATGTCTGTCTGAAGGTGCAGATTACTGGTGGAAGAGAGGAAAGAGACTAGGTTAAGAATAACTACAAATCTCAATATTCCTCTTTAAAAATTGGCAGAGATAGAGGGAAGTACCTGGAATAAGCAATAAAGTTATTTGCAGTTTTTTCTTCCTAGAATTTCTGCACTGGTAAGTTATATCAATAAAAAACAAAAGAACAGAGTTCTTTGGCCAGAGAGGCCAGAGGCCCCCTCCACCTCCATCCCCAGAGCCATCGCTGCATCGCTGGGGTTATATTCACTTGCATGCTGTCTGTCTTGTCAGAGGCAGCAGGAGGGTGCTTGTACTTTGTTTTGCTTTTCTCTTTAGTTTTTCTTTAAAAGTAAATTTTAAAAGACTGCAGACGTTTAGTTTGTGGAAAGTTTTGTGGTGTGATGGCTTTCATTCTCAAAGGTGCCTCATGGGTTTTGCATGTTCATTAGTTCAAGGGCACCTGTACATGAGTTGCAGGGTGGCCATCAGTTCCAGATTAAAGTCAGGCAAATGTCTAGGATGGAAATTGTAAGGAGCGTCACTCACTCTCAGGGTGGTGACCTGCTCAAGAACTTTCATCTCATCGCTGAGCAGTAGAATGTGCTGAGTCAAGGAGTAAGTGCCAGAGCTAGATAGTCTGGGTTCAAATCCAGGGGGTGGCAGCAGCTGTGTGTCTTGGGCAAATGAGCTCATCTCTCAGTTTCCCCACTTGAGGATAATGGTTGTATATGACTTCAGAAGCTAATAAAGATCAAGTTCCTACTTGTAGCCTAACATACAAAGTACATTTAGGACATTATCATATTCTTGTGAGGATGTTCTCTCCATCTTGTAAGTGAAGAAATGGATATTCGAGAAGGATTACTGTGCCAGGCACACAGCTTGTGGTGCTGGGATGGGACTGACTTTATTCCACTATAATGTCATACACAATACATGTTTTTGAGTTGCTGTTTCTCTCTCAATATGATCAAGGCAGTTCACTCATTGTTCATCATCCATCTGCAAATCCAACCATTTGTACTTCTGTCTGCTGTCGATCTATCATCTATCCATGCATCCATCCATACTTCCATGCATCCATGCATGCATGTATGCATCCAACCAGCCAGCCAGCCAGCTGCCCAACCATACATCCATCCATCAGTTCTCCTTTTCTTCTTCCCTACCTCCTCCCCTTCCTCCTTCCCTCTTTCCTTCCAACTGAAATCTTCTTTCAAGTTACTGCAACTTGAAACTACACATCAGAGTGTTAAACTTCACCTTGAATGCTTAGTTATCTGTTCACTAGAAGCCAGCAACAAATCTAAGAACAGCCTCTATCTTTCCCGAGTGCTATCATCAGCTGTTGGAAAATTCCCAGCACACTCCATTTTGCACACTGTTTTTGCTCTCCCTGGAGTATCATTGCCCAGAAATTCACTTCTTACATGTCACCTTGTCACTGAGGTCTTTGCTGAATACTGTTTCCAAAACTTGCCCCCTCCCCATTTCTATCCTTCCTTTCTGCTTTCTTCAACCTCTCAGCATCAACAACATTAAACATACACCATTATTTATATATTTATTTTTAAACATTTATTTATACATACAGAACTGGGGTACAGGCCAGAAGTGCAAGGGTGGTGAGACAATTTACCAGAGATAGAGTGGGGAGCAGAACAGGCAGATTGACAAAGTACACTGCTGAGGGGAGCAGCAGGCAAGACAGGAGCTGTCTTCTGTGCCATGTGAGTCACTTTCCTCGCAGGAATCGAACTCTCACTGAAGTGGCTGTGACTAGCTTCTCAGTGCTGCACTTTAACTTGTTGCGCCACCAGGGAGGACCCTACATATTTATTTTTATATGCCTCCCCAAGTAGAGTATAAACTACATGAGGAAGGAATTTGTTTTTGTTGTTTGCTTTATACCCCTCATTGCCTGGGAACTTAGTTTTGGATAAATGAGTTAACTTTGTAGATTGTAAGGAAGGGTGTTTTCAATACTGAGGTAGAAAGACTTTTTGTGTATCTTTCATTCCTTGCTATTATCATGTAACTGCAGGGTTGTTGGACATGATATTGAGTTCAATTATAACATTAATAGCACTCATCCAGACAATTCTTCCCTCTAATTCAAGGGAAGGCCTGGAAGCTCTGGAAACCCCTCTGGTCACCCACTCACAGAGGCTGGGAACTTATAAAATGCCATGTAAAACTAGAAGTTTATGAAATTTTGGTTTTGCATGCCAGCAGGTCACAACCTTAGAACTTCAATATGGTAAACTTGCTAACATATGTAAACTAATGTATAATGTTACTTGCTTATAATATATAGTTAAAACAGCCCTTTAAAAGGGTGTTTTGGGGTTGCTAATCCTAATTGGCACGTCCCTGACTATGTTCCACATGTCCGTGGCTCTTATTTTATAGTACAACCTGTACCCATCAGACCTTTTAAATTAAGACTCATTTAGGTTTTGATAGAGGTGTGGCCTGCTGCTCTTTTAATGTGTTCCTAAAAAGTTGTGCCAACTCCAGTTTGTTCTGAAGTGCTGTCCGTACTTGAAGTTAAGAAGGGCTGCATGTCCTGGAATCCCTCAGTGTTCCAGAACACCCGTGTGTGTTCTTGAGCCTCTTCTGTCTCCTACTTGGTCCTAGTATCAGGGAAAATACGGCAATTCACACAATTCTTGTGTGGGTCTGGCTTTGGTGGGTGCAGACCAAGCTCTCATTTTTCAGAAGCTTTCTGACCCCAAGATCACATACCTCTGGAGTCTCCCAAATATACAGAACCCTCCGATGAGTTTTTTAGTTGAACTCACTTCTTTCCACAGTTCAACCACACAGGACAAGGGAGTATCTGCAGCCAGGCCATCATGCTCATCACCGATGGAGCTGTGGACACCTATGACACCATCTTTGCCAAATACAACTGGCCTGATCGAAAGGTAAGTTGAGCTAATGCCATCGAATGGTGAACTCCGATTGCCCACGGGTAAGTGGCCCAGGCAGGCTTAATCTCATAGTGACCTATGGTTTCTCAGCTTGTGGTTTGTTTTTTTTTTTTAAGTTTTAACCAAAACTGAATAGTATGGCTTGCCTTGTTTTCACAATGATGCCTTTTTGGAAGAGAGATAAAACCCATAATGACAAACCAGTATAGTATATTCAGTGAAAAGATTCACCGTGCCGTGTGCTTCATCTACTTTGGGGTCCCTTCTCCTGGTCTTGTTTTCCACGCAGCCCTTGCTGCCTGGTGGGCCCAATGTCTGCAGAATGGTGAGGTCACCTTTTTCTGGTTCTCTGTTCCTTCCTGGGTCCTCAGTGTCCTCACTGAGATCTTCTCTCCATCCCGTGCTGCTCCCCTTCCTAGTCAAGGTTCAGCTGTTTTCTACTCTAATTACTCCCTGGTTTTCCTAGTTGACATTTATTTATATGATGCTTCCATATGACAGATATTAATATTTTTGGTGCATTTTTGAGGTTAAGTAGAATGTTCATGACACAGTGTCATCTTGTAGCATATGGAAGGTACTTTGCACTATTGGGGACCAGCTTTCATAAATAAGTGAAGGGGCCTTTTAGGAAGCATCTTTGTGGACACCAAATGTGTTGTCTTGTGGCTCTCATATGCTTTATCAGATAAATCCTTCCTCTTGGTAATTCCCAGTGGGCCGTAGGTGCCCAGGAATATTGGTGTTTAACGTCGTGTGCTCATTTGCAAGGAGAGGCATAGAATGAGGGTTGTAAAGTCTTCACTCTTCTGACAAGACATAAACTCAGCATATCATTCTAAAGGAGCAATACGACTCTAGGCCAGGTGCTTTCTGGATGAGTTGGAAGCTGGGTGTTGGGCCCTCTCTTTAGCCTCCCCCACCATCTCTGTCCTAGAGGGTCTCTAACCCTCCAGGACCACCCCATGAATCTTTTCTCCTTAGTTATTATAACCCAGACTTCCTGATTGTGTAACAGCTGGTTTCCAAGAAGGAAAAGGCAGCACAAAGTGAGGAGGAGGCAAGGGGAGCCCTTGTGGGTGCCATGTTTTTCTAAGTGACTCCTCACTCAGAGGAGTGTTCAAGGAAACTGCTTAATAAAGTATTCCAGAATGAACTGGAAGAAGGGATGGAGTGTTGGTAATTTAACTCTCAGGCTCCAAAGGCAGCAGTGGGGTTGCCTGCATGTGTCCCTGGCCGACATTTTATTTCTGAGAGCAGAAATGAGGAGCTATTTATTTATTTATTGGATACCATTTACTTTTGCATAATAACCTTTGGTTAGTAGCTTCATGACAGCTCTTCCACGCTTGGAATAAAATATGAACCCCTGAACATAAAAGGGACTCAGTCTAGGATCTGCTCAAGAAATAAATCTGCCTACATTTAAATCAGAAAAATTATCAGCCCCACCACCTATGTAGTTGCTCTTCCAAATGAACTTAAAAAAAAAAAATCATGCCGTTGTTTTTCACTTCCTCCCTTGACACATAAAACAGAGTCACAATAACTGGATAGGTAAATCAGTGGTGAGTGAAATTTAATGTAAAGTTGGTGGAATAGGGTCTAGGGACAATCTGCCCTATGACCTACATTGTACAGACAGTGAGCTCTGAATTATTTTTTTTATATTTTTAAATGCTTAACAAAAAACAAATCCAAAGAAGAGATGCTTCATGAGATGGAAATATATATATATATAATATATATATTATATATATATATGAAATATGTATTTCATATATATGTGAGTAGATTTATTAGGAAAAGGAGAAAGAAAAACAGAGGCACCTGCATAGTCAGGTGGGCAGAAGAGCTGCCCCCAAAACTATATTAAATTCAATTGCCACTACCCATCAGTAAAGTATTATTGCCATACATCCATGCCCTTTGTTTTCATGTTGTCTGGCTGGCTGCAGACTCAAATGGCCGTGACGGACCCCCATCTGCTCCACCGAGCCTAAAATATTTACTGTCTGGCCCTTTAAGAATAGATTTGGCAACTCCTTATCTATAGGAAGGATTGTATGGATTGCCTGGATTTAACAGAAGGTGATAGTGGCGGTTTCTCTTTACCTTCCCATTGCTTTTTCTCTTTGAACAAACTTCTAGACTAGTCTAATAATAGCCAGTAGAGGGGGTGGGAAACTTGATGGCAAATCCTCTTGATGCTGTAGTTGTCTCTCCCAAATCATGGAGTTTTTTAATCACGAGTGGCTTCTTTCCCTTCTCCTCAGGGCTGCCACTAGGGCAGGGGTATGTACATATAGGTATGGGCTGTGCAGCAGAGCAAACTGTGGTTCTCAGGTCATTGGAGGAACAAAGGGTGTACTCTGGACAGCGTCAGATCCTTTCTTTGCAAAGACCCTGGAAACAAAAGCTTCCCTGAATCCAAATAAAATGCAACCCCTGTCATTCCTGTTACCTGGTTCACGTCAACCTGCACATGGTCAGTAACTCTTACTTTGCTTTGTTATACTTTGGAAAGTTAGGTGGGGCAGTAGCTCTCCCATAACAGGCCATGTCTACACTAGCTCCCTGTTGTGAAAGTGTGAATCCCTGCCTAGATGTGCAGGGAGTCATGACCCCTCTGGATCTGACCACTGTCACTACACATCTGTTCTTCCCATGGTCTTTGATGAGAAACAGTACTAGAATGTTCCATGTACTCCCTCTCCCTGAACCTCCCCCGACAAGAGTGTTTTGAATTGGTTTCTGGTACATAGAACTAACTAGAGCTAGTTCTTTCTGAATATTGAGCACCAGTAGTAAACTAGTAGTGAATGTTTCATGTGCATGGAATTCACACACTAGCCCAAGAGAAGGGAACTATTATTATTGTCTCCTTTACACAAATGAGAAAAGTGAGGCAGCAAGAGACTATTTAACTGATTCAGATTCTATAATGAGACTGGAGCTGAAATGACTGCCCAGCACAGGGAATGCTGACATTGGACCCTTCATCAGGAGTGGACATTTCGAAGAAAAAAGCAAAACCAAATGACTATCGGTTAGAGGAAGAGCTGTGTATATTTCACACGTTGTCAGCAAGAAAGTGAGTTCAGTGTTTTGGCCTTCCCGCCGTGTGTGTGTGTGTGTGTGTGTGTGTGTATGCACGTGTGTGTGTGCCCGTACGGTGGGTACAGGGGTGCAGGCAGAGAGAAAGAGCAAGGCAAACTAGGTGGCCTCAGTTCAAGGCTGTCTGGGTGAGATTAAGGGATTGTCCTCTTCTAAAAGGGTGGGGGAACTTCAAAGGTGGATGCAGTTTCAACTGTAGGTGCGGGATGCTTTCTTATCACTTACTTTCACAACAAAACTTGGATGGTAACTGTGAGACCCTTGGAGAAGCGCCAAGGATCCAGCTCCTTGCATAGCCTCGGTGGTTGGTGGAGTGGGCAGGGCACCAGCAGACTGGGCACAAAGGGAAGCCCTTGATTACATAGCATGGTCCAGGGCTGACTTTGGAGCGCTTTGGAAACACTGTTGGGAATCTGTCCTACATCTCCAAGAAGGGGTTCCTTTGGGGGCTTGACCTCAGGCCTCCCCCTGGTGGCAGAAAGCTGAAACCTGTGTCCCACTGGCTCCAGAGGCACTGGAGGATTAATGTTGCCCTGGTGGCTCCAGGGTGGTTTTGGAACGTTCAAGAATCCCTCTCTCCTCATCTTTCCATGGGGTATGTGCACTCTGGGGAGCAGAATTTCTGAGCTGAGTCAGGGTTTATCCTTCTAAGAATGCAATCCTTAAATAGCCTTAGTAATTTGGAAGGAATTTTCTTGTTTTTCTTTTCTCTCCCCAAACTACATTATTTCTTCTCTGAATGATTTAAGAAAGCATTTTTTTTTCTGGGGCCTAGTGGACACAGGGCTTGGGGGAAGCTGGCTGGACAGGCAGGGGTTAGCACTCTAGGCCTTTGATGGACACAGGAATTGGGTGCTCTCTGTGAATACTTCCAGATGTACCTGTTTTTCACTGCTGTTTTATCTGGGGGTTCAGTTGGGTGATTAAATGTCTCTGCTCCCTCTCTCCCTATCTTCCTACCTGACTGGAGTACCTTAATGGTTTGAAAGTTTTGGTTGAGTTTGTGACATTGCTGTATTTTTTTTCAAGGCTGATAAATTCTAAAGCTGTCTTAGGAAAATGCAGGAACATTCATTTCTTCTGGTCAGTCAGTGGTATGTCAGGAAAAGGCATTTTCAGTCACCCTGGTGAGAGCTCACGCAGGCCTTCCCTGACGCTGCAGGGAGAGGCAAAATGGCTCGCTGTCTCTGGGTTTATTTTTAATTACTTGTGCTGGTATTAGACATCTTGTGAGTGTGGCAAAGAGAACATGATGAGACAAGTTAGGATCAAGGCCCACTGATGTGTGGCTGCTGCCAGCCATTGAGAAATCACTTCATGTCAGGGACTCCAGACTGCCGCCAGGGTTATTTCTCTGCCTGCGCCCTGGGTGGGGGTCTGGGCCTCTAACCAGGCATGGATAAGCAGGTGGGGGCACAGTGCGCAGACCTAGGGACTGCACCACCCTCTGTAAAAGGCTGGCAGACAGCCATTCTTCGGGAAGCCCCCCTCAGTACCCACGCTCCCACGCTCAACACTGTGTCTTACACTGTACTTATTAAATTCACTAGATTCTCAGCTCTGCCCTGTAGAGACACTCTTATTGCCATTCTCATCTTGCTGGCAGGGAATTCAGACTGAGGGAGAGAAAGTCACTGGCCTGGAGCCCACGATTAGGACGCTGGGGGTCCCTGATCCTCCACATGGGTGCTCTCCAGAAGAAGATTGGCAGTTGTGGGGTTGGCAGTTGTGGGGACTTTCTCCGAATGTTCCCTGGGCTCTCTTTCCCGCAGGGGTAGCCCTGCAGAGTGGCATTTGGTAGGTAGCGCACAGACCACACCCTGTGGCCGGGAGGGTATTGGTGCCTCCTCTTGGAAGAGACTGTCCGAACTTGAGAC